TGGGAAGGGGCATGTGCACAGGGCAGGGGGGATGGACTTGGGGGCGCTTGGGAGGGAGTGGGACAATAACAAAATTGGGAAACAAGGACCAGCGAAGACAGAGGGTGAAATGGAAACGGGGGGAATTTGTGGCTTTAGTTAGGGTGGACAGTGTCAGGGCTAGCCGCAGAGAGTGGGCACTGTGGTAGGTAGAGGGGAATATGGGCACCCGTGAACTAAGGGGGGTTCCGCTGTACACACTGAAGTCACCCGGGGAGCAGCCAGGAAGCCAGTGGTGGGGAGTGGTCAGGGAGAGGAGGGACGAAGGTGTGTGGGAGCTTCAAGGGGCATCAGGATTCAGGGTGGAATGTCCCCCAGGCCTGGGGGGTGAGGGGAGAAGATTTGGGGGTCTTGGACACTCTCAGCTGGTCCCAGCCCCACTCCTTTGTATGGACTCCAGGTGTGTGGGCCCGCGCCTTCCTCCCGCCCCTCACCTGAGACATTGAGCACGGTGACTCTATAGTTGTCCTGAAGTCCTTTCAGTTTCCACGTGTACTCCCCCGCGTGGGTGGCCTGTGCGTCCTCGATCACCAGCGTTGCCACCCTGTCCTGGACCTGGAGATGCCACCCCTCCTTGGTGAGGCTCCCCGGGGCCTTCACTCCTAGAATTTGGCTGCAGTTCTGCTCGGGTTTGCATAGGGAGACGTTCACTTGGGAGAAGTTGTTCTCGATCTTGCAGGACATCTCGGCTGGCATGCCTCTGTACACAACCACATTTCCAGTGCAGTTGGGGTTGTCCTCAACTGTGGAGGGGACAGGTTACACACATGGGCCATGATATGACCTCAGGACATTGGTCAACTGTCCATGATTTCCCTGGTGCCAGAGCAGAGGGACGAAGGTGTGGGGGAGCCTCGAGGGGCATCAGGATTCGGGGTGGAATGTCCCCCAGGCCTGGGGGTGAGGGGAGAAGATTTGGGGTCTTGAACACTCTCAGATGGTCCCAGCCCCACTGTTTTGTATGGACTCCAGGTGTGTGGGCCCGCGCCTTCCTCCCGCCCCTCACCTGGGACATCGAGCACGGTGACAATGTAGTTGTCCTGAAGTCCTTCTAGGTTCCACGTGTACTCCCCCGCGTGGGTGGCCTGTGCGTCCTCGATCACCAGCGTTGCCACCCTGCCCTGGACCTGGAGATGCCACCCCTCCTTGGTGAGGCTCCCTGGGGCCTTCACTCCTAGAATTTGGCTGCAGTTCTGCTTGGGTTTGCATAGGGAGACGTTCACTTGGGCAAAGTTGTTGGCGATCTCGCAGGACATCATGGCTCGCATGCCTCTGGACACCACAACCACGTTTCTGGTGCAGGTGGGGTTGTCCCAAACTGTGGAGGGGACAGGTTACACACATGGGCCACGATGTGACCTCAGGACATTGGCCAACTGTC